CCCTCTGTGTTCTCGCAGGTGCCGCCCCGGCACAGCGGCTCAGGGCTGCCCACCTCCTCGCACTCGTTGATGTCTGCAAGGAGGAGAGGGACAGAGGTGAGCTGGCAGCACAGCGAGCAGTCCCGGCCTGCAGCCAACATCTTCCTGTACTCCCAGCTCCTGTGCCCTTAGCCCTCCCCCACAGGTGCCTCAAGCCCTTTCCAGCACCTCCAGGATTCCCACCACAACCCCACCAGTCTTTCACACCCCTCGGCACATCCACAGAGCCTCCTTGGTCCCCAAGGGTGACATCCTCAGCATATGGCATCCCACAGTGCAGAAGAGAGACCCCCCTCCTCTCCAGCCCTGTGCGATGCACACCAGACAAGTGGCACACCCATGCTCTGCAGCTGGTGACACCCCTGGCTTAGCAGCTTCCTGCTACTCAGTTGTGCTAGCGTAAGATCTGGGAGAAAGGCCTTGGAAAATGCCCTTTCCTGTTCTAACAAGGCCAAGGAGGCAGATGATGGTGGCCTTGAGAGACTGATTATCACCTCCAGGACCAGAACACAGAGGGATCTTATGCTGTACAAACAAGGGCTCGTTTTATTAACCTGCAAACTGTGCCGAAGGGCTCACTCAGATGGCTTGCCACTGGGCTAGAGCTTGCACGCAAGCCCTCAAGTATCTGCCTGGCTGTGACAGGTCTGTTCTGCTAAATGCACTTCCTTGGACAACCTGCCCGAGCTACCCCAATTTGTGGTGGGGCCACCAGCTGGGCAGAGCATCCCTGGGAATCCCAGAGTCCTTTTTTGCACTCACAGGACCTCCAGAGCCCAAATCCTCACCTGTCAAGGCAGGTCCAAGCCCTCTGACCACAAACTCCAGCCTTACCCCCTGTAGATTGGCAAGGATTGAGAGTAGGGAGCAGCTGAAGGATTTAGCTGGCCACCGCAGGGAGAAGCAAAGTCCCTGGCAGTGACCAGCAGACCCTGGGAGGACTGAAGAGCTCTGCCACCCCAGGGATCTCAGGTTACCCCTAGCACAGGTGGAGGGGGGCCACTTGGCAAAGAAAGGGAAGTGCAACCCCAGGAGGGAAGGCTGGAAGCAAAACCTCCAGGTGTGGTGGAAAGAAGCACAGCAGTGAAAAGAGGAAGAAGGTGGAGAGGGGAAATGTGAGAGGAAAGAGCTTGAGGAACAAGGCAGCTTTTGTACACAGCCAAAACAAATGGGGACTGCAGACCTCAGCTAAGCCTCAGGACCAGAACATGGCCATGGACAGGGCAGGCTTGCTCAGAAGCCCATGGAGGAGATGTCAGGCAGCACATCAAGGGAGATGTGTTCTGCAGCCTGGGAAGCAGGGGGAGACAGCCTTGGTGCAGGCTTCAGGGAAAGGTGAAACAGGGAAACACAGGCAGGCTGGTCTGGCTGTGGACCACAAAACTGAGAGAAGTAAACCAAGTAAAGCAAAGTAAATGCTGGCCCAGAGGCACCTGAAAGCCGGAGCAGCAGAGCAGCTAGCAGTGTGCACAAAGCCCTGGAGCCTGCCACTCGGGTGGGGGGGCAGGCACCTGTCTTGTGGGGCAAGGGCAAGCTGTCCCCACAGCAGGGGCAAGAGAGGAACCACTGCAGCAGCTGCAGGAGTACTCTAAAGGCCTCAAGGCAGCAAGGTGAAAACGTGGGGACGACTAGTCACCATGCAGGAGAACTGAGGGGAAAAAGAAACCCGACAGGCTCCAATGTAAAATGAGTGCTATTTAGACCAGGACAGGAAAGGCAACAAGAAAAGGCTCCATAAATATGTTAGCAGGAAACAATGGGGACTGTTGGCCCGGTCCTTATCGACAGAGGAAACAAAAGCCAGCCGAGCTGGCTGGAGCAGCTAACGTGGGCTTTGTTCCAGCCATCATAAAATGCTCATGGTGACCAGACAGAGTGCAGACCATGTCTGAAGTGTTTAAACAAGGGTGCAGGAGCAAGGGAGGGAAAGGCCATACTGTGATGGAGAGGTTCAACAAACAGGTAGATAAAGCAGTTACATCCATATTGCTGAAGACTTGCTGCAACTCATCTTCACATGCTCAGTGCTTTTGCAGTCCCTGAGAAGCTGGCAGTTCTGAGACAAAGGATAAAGGAGGTCTCAGAGACCTGAGGAATGGTAAATAAATCTGGTAACTGTCTTCAAAAACAAAGAAGGGAGGATCCAGAATTACAGACTGCTCACCCCCATTCCTTAAGCGGACCAGGTTTGTGAGTGATTAGGTCATAAACCCTCCAAAGGATATCAGGGTCATTAAATAGCTGCTGCAGATCTGTTAAGGCCTGATTATGTTAAGCCAATCTGGTTCCCCTTGCTGAACCTGATAACTGTTTTGTCAGATAAGGGGGAAGCAGTGTATATGATGTGCCTTGGCCAGCGAGGATTTCAACATGCTCTCACATGACACATTCAAGTAGACTGTGAAAATACAGTCTAGATGAGACTACACGGGTTGCACAATGGGCTGCAAAGCGGCACTCCAAAGGTAATTAGCAATACCTGGATGTTACAATAAAAGCCATTTAAAGCATAGCCTGAAAGTCTGTCCTGAACCCTACTCCATCCAAATGTCATTAAGGTGGACGAAGGAAGAACACCATGCTTATAAAATGTATGTGTGTGATGACGCCAGGCTGCAAGCACTTTGCAGAGTTCAGACTCATTCTGAACAAGCAGAGAAGCTGTCCAAAATTGACCAGACAAAATTTGCTGAAGGCAAATGCAAAGCACTGTGGCCAAGGGAAGAGAAACAAGAGTGCTCAAACGCAGAAGGCAGAGTAATCCTCAGGCAGCCACTCTGTCCATCAGCATGTGTGGAGGCAGAGACCACAGACTCTGTATGAAGAAGCTGCATGATCGTGTCATGCAGTAAGGATTCTGGGAGCTGGGAGTGAGTGCAGTGCCTAAGGAAAAGGAGGGTTGTCATCTGCTCTGTTGACTGCCTGGGGCCTCAGCTGGCTTGGGAGGTTCCACTGTGAAAAGGATGGAAACATGGCATAGGGATGTAGAGGAAATGCAGAGAGAAGCTTTAGAGACTGTCTCCCAGGGCAGGGTGAAAAGTGAGGAATTTCACCAAGACAGTGGTGAACGTAGAGGAAATTAATCAGGGATAAAGTAGCAGTGGCTGGTGATGTACAGGAGCATTATGTGAAGAGGGCAGCGATCAGCTGCTCCCCGTGATGCCCCGATACGCTTGCCAGCAGGAGGTGGCCGGCTGAACCTCCAGGAAGGTCCTCCCTGCCCTGGGGGAAGGAAGCACCGGCGAGAGCGGGCACCCCTCCGGCAGCAACAGCCAGCACCACCAGAGAGCGGCAGACACACGGGCATGGGCCCCCCGGGCCACCACTCACCCACGCAGGCCATGCGGGTCATGTCCAGCTGGAAGCCGTCAAAGCAGTCGCAGGTGTAGCCCTCCCGGACGCGCACGCAGCGCCCGTTCTCGCAGCCGTTGAGGATCCCGCACTCCTCAGCCTGCAGCCCCTCAAAGCCCTCGTAGAGGCCTGGAGGGTGGCAAGGTGGTGTCAGAGCAGGGTGACCCTCCACCCGGCCACGGAGAAGACACTGGGCATGTGGCAAGATGGTGCTGGCAGGGCCAAGACTGACTCAGAGCCGCCAGGAGCACAGCTTGCTACAAGCCTGGAGCACCCTGGCCAGGGTGGGAGCGGCCAGGCAGTCCCTAGGGACACAGGCTGGGTGGGAAGTCTCCCAGTACTCACCAGTTTGGCTGGGTAGGTAGTGGGGCATGAACCGCCCTGGGTTGTGGTGGTGGAGAGGGCTGCCACGAAACTCGCTGTTGGGCTCCCTCCGAGGCAAACCAGCATCAGGGTTTCTGTACTCAGACTCCAGGTAGTTGTAGAAGGGGCCCATATCTGGGCTCGGAAGGCTATAATGGGGGTCTTCCAAGCCTGGTGCGTACTCATACCTAGGTCTTTCTTGGAGCTCAGACCCTCTCTCACTGTCTTCACCAGCCCCATTACACAGGAAAGCAAAATCGGCTGCAAGTGGTGAGAGAAAAGGAAGGGTCAGAAGCCTGGCTCAAGAGAGGTAGGTCTGCTAGGGCCAGAGTGGATGCGTCCTCTGCAGAGCCAGGCCTGTGTTCAACAGGCTCCAAAGCTGCAGCTCTGTAGTTTGCTGATGAGACCACATCTTTGAGAAGACCAACTCCTGCCTGGGGCCAGCAAGTCCCGGAGCAGCAAGAACCCCACTTCCCAGTGAGCTCCCATCCAGGGCTGCCACCTCTCCTAAGATAAGCAGGAGCAGCGAGATACACAGGGCAGCCCTCCCCTCAGACACCTCGGACTCATCACAAGCCAGTTTCGGTACACCCCACCCACTGGTGCAGCTCAGCCCCAGGGAAGCAGGGGGGGTCACCCACTCCTCGGGCTGGTGTCGGCAACGCAGGCAGCAGCAGG